GGTTATCCTAGGTTAAGCATTCACGTCAGACTGATTAATGTTGTAGTAGCCAGGCTCAGGCTTGCTGACAAGTACTTCTGCCAGTTTGACAAACACAGAAGATGAACAAACCAAATGTAGAGTATGTGGCCAGCTCTATGATCACTATCTTGAACACTTTATGCTTTATTGTCCACTTATTGAGGAATATAGAGATAGACAGTGTAATAACCTATGTGATATATCAAGATATCTAATTAATTAAAATAAAGATACCAGAGACACACTGCAGTGAGAATTATTATTGTAATCAAAACTAAGCACTAAACCCACTAGGGTATTGCAGTGAGAAACGTATCGTAAAGTTCGATGTGTCATTGTCAGACACATGTGCAACACCCAGGTATCTAAATAGTGCAAATGTGTCTTTCTCATCAATTTGGGGCTATTTATGTTCCATTTATAATTATTGTCATTGTAAGTATTCATTCTGTTGCAGATACCTTCGTTGTCTTTCCTAATAGTTATTATTCCTGTAATATTTCCTCTCCCAGTTTAGAAAACCCTGGTATAGGGCCGGGTCGCAGGGGCGATGATCCCTGAAACCCACTGACAGTTACATTTGGTGAGTAATGTAAAACTACCACAGTGAAAATAAGAAAACCTGAGCACTCTCATATGTTTATACATCTTCCTGTTCCTCTGCATTCCTCGCACTCAAGCGTTTCATTGTGATTTCTTCCTTGATGAATGATGTTGATACATCAGAGGTGTCCAGCACTCAGCAACAGTGATGATGTTGATACATCAGAGGTGTCCGGCACTCAGCAACAGTGGTGATGTTGATACATCAGAGATGTCCAACACTCAGCAACAGTGATGATGTTGATACATCAGAGGTGTCCAGCACTCAGCAACAGTGATGATGTTGATACATCAGAGGTGTCCAACACTCAGCAACAGTGATGATGTGATACATCAAGGTGTCCAGCACTCAGCAACAGTGATGATGCACATACAATCAGATCTTTGTACACATACAGCAACCCCGTGGGTAAATAGTATTGAATAATAAGGTGTGTTTTTTTGCATCATAAGGCAGTCGAGATGTTTGATACAAATCAGAGGTTTCAACACTCAGCAAAGAAAATTGATGTTGATAATCAGAAGTGCAGCAACTCCAGACCAAATTTGTGAAGATTTGAAAATCAAGGTGCCAGCACCCGGGAAAACCCTGATGAATGTTATTCACATCGTTCCACACCCAGCACAGGGGATGATGGTTCACGGGTGTCCGCACTCAAACAACAGTTGAGGAGCGCTACCTTCAAGAGGTGACCAGCACCCCATAAGGAAAAGTGATGAGGTTGATACATCAGGTGTCCACACACAACAGTGATGATGTTGATACATCAGAGTGTCCAGCATCAGCAACAGTGGGATGTTGATACATCAGAGATGTCCCCAACATCAGCAACATGATGATGTTGGATACATCAGAGGTGTCCACACTCAGCAACGTGATGATAGCACATACAAGTAAATCTTTGTAATTTTGTACCCTAAACCTCCCATGATGATAATAATAATAATTAATAATAAAAGGTGTGGGTTTTTTTTTATCTTTTTAAGGGAAGGGCGAGCGTTACTCGAACAATTATCAGAGGTCAAGACGTCATAGTCAGAAAAAAATTCGTGTAGTGGGAAAAAAAGACACGTTCAGCATAACTTTCATCTAACCGAAAGCTTTGTGAAGACATTTGACATGAAGGTGCACACAGGGCGAAACGTCGTCCCGGTGAGAGGCTGCTTTTCACCTGCTCAACAACACCCAGCACGGTGTTGGGATAAAGGGTTCACGGTGTCGCACTCAGAGCACCGTTGGAGGAGGCCGCTACCCTTTGCAACGAGTGACACACCTTTGTTGTGTTGCACCTGCATAAGGACGAAGGTGAAGGTTTAACATTTCTCTCTCTCACACACACACACATGACCTTGTGAATACTACACCCGCCTACTGTTGAGTATTTCAGACGCACTTAGCGTCGTGTTCGTTAGCAGTCACATATCCTCCCATATCCACACACAATGAAAACTGGCTCACCCCATACATTATGAACTAGGGGGCCCCCATTTATTAAAACAATTAGCGTTATGCCATTTTAAGTCCTATGCTATCCTTTCCCTTCCTCACACACAAAATTTATTACGTTTATAAGTATTATAATGCATGTGAGGATCGTTAAGGCTGCGTGTAATAATAATAATATTTAAGTCATACAAGGAATGCAGTAGTTATACGTGAATCTGTACAAAAGTTGGCGCGAAAGCGGCTAATTATGCAATACGTTTGTGGCAACCAGTATGTCAATCAATAATACTTTGATCCCTGAGATACGCTTGTTGCCCCTCTGCTCACTTAACAGTAAATAGGTACTCGGGTATCTGTTGACTGGCGCGAGTGTCATCCTGGGGAAGAGACTGGAGGATCACACAGGAAATAATTCAGTGTTGAGTATCTTGGGTTACACTCCGTAGAAAATCCTCCCTCCATCTTCTCTTCGCCCTCCTCTCCCGCCACTCCCTCCTCCTCCTCCAAGGTTAAACATCCCGTTTTCTTATATAAAGAAATCTAGGTGTATATAAGTACGTTTTCTTTGATTATCGTTTTTTTTGGGGGGGTTGATGGGTAACTTATTTAAAATAAAGACTAATAGGATTATTAACCCCGAATGATTAGTAACCCACGATTACTCATTAAAGGCAGTCATTGCGGCATACTTCCATAGGAGTTCTGTTTAGGTCCTCCCCAGGATGCGACCCACAACAGTCCACTAGCTGCCAGTCTCTAGTTACTGCTGGGTAACGAGGGGCAACAGGTATTGGGACACTTGTCCGTAGATCCCGCCCCCGTAGTGGGGTTCGACCCTCCGTTCCCTCGGCTGTGAGCCTACCGTGCCAACCACTGCACTATTACTATGTAAGATAATTGTACTTATGTGTACCTGTACTTAAATAAACTTAACTTATTACATGTAGGTGACGTCTGTACTGTCCATACGCACCACAGATGTATAACCAGTGGGTAACGTCTGTACCGTTCCCACGTACCACTGATGTATAACCAGTGGGTAACGTCTGTACCGTTCCCACGTACCACTGATGTATAACCAGTGGGTAACGTCTGTACCGTTCCCCCGTACCACTGATGTATGACCAGTGGGTAACGTCTGTACCGTTCCCACGTACCACTGATGTATAACCAGTGGGTAACGTCTGTACCGTTCCCACGTACCACTGATGTATAACCAGTGGGTAACATGTGTACCGTTCCCACGTACTACTGATATATAACTAGTGGGTGTTTGAGTCCTGAGATAAGATTAGGTTGATCATTACGATAACGATGTACAATACCTATAATAAACTAGGAATGAGAAACATATACAACACCTGTCTGTCTTTGAAGACGTTTCGCCAGCCATTATTTTGTTATTTTATTTTATTAGGTTAATGTAATCACGTTCCTTCGTTCGTTCGTTCCTTCCTTCCTTCCTTCAGCTTCATCACTCTATACTGATTCTACCCCGACGTTAATCCCGCCTAACCTGTCTTACGGTCAGTCTAAATTCAGTTGATATCACTGAATGTTAGTGAAATATATTGGTTAATGAGACTTGTGTACTTTTCGCCACTGTTGGTTTCTACTGTGCTAAAGGAGCCACGAGGGAACGAAACGTTTCCTTAAGGTCTTGATAAATGCATACGTGTGTGAGGCATGTCGGTGTCACCATGCTACCTCCACCTTGAGAAAAAAAAATTGATTTTGCAAGGACCACAGTGGAAATAAGTCACTTTGTCCGACGTTTTTCGGGGGTTATTGTAGGTAATTTACACATATGTTACTATGCAAGACGTTTGCAATTACCAAAAAACGTGTAAACTGTACTTACGCGTAACTGTACCCAATAAACTTGGTTAACAGACTCCGACTCCCGTCTCAAAGACCGGAGGTTAAAAGTCTCCGGGAGGAGCCCTCCAGACTTCCCTTTTTTCACACAGTTGAAACTAACCCACACCCGTTCCGTGGTTTGTTTGCACCTCGTGTTATTACGATTTCCTGAGACAGTTGAAATCGCTGACTTGGCTAAACGATCGTTCCCATATTAGATAGGATCGCAAGCTCTACGAGTGAGAAAAACAAACGCCTATGTACGGATTAAAGTATTTCTGATGTTGGTGTATACAGGTGAGTCGTTGCCTTTGTGGTCTCTAGTGCCGATGATGTATTTTAGTGTTAATTAAACTATTTCTTTTTCTAGAGTACATTGTCACCACTTGAAGTGAAGGATTATGTTACCCTCTTATCAAAGGTACCTGTGTTCTTCTTACAAGGCACGAGATATGTTTGTTATTCCTGCAACAAAGGTACTTGTTCACTGTCAACCCGGAATTTGGAGAAGAAACGTTAGTCGACATTTCGGTCCGTCCAGAGTTATTATCAAGTCAAGGATCGAATGTCATTTAAACATTTCAAATTGGAGTAAATTATTTCAGCCAGAGTATTGTAAATTTTGTTCCTGAAACAAGTACCTCTGTTCCCTTTGTGGTGCCCCAACACAAGACACTTTTTGTTGCTTCTGCAACAAAGGTGTCAGCAACTCGGCCCTTTACTGCGAAGAATTACACAATATGCAATATCTGTGTATCTTTGTTTCAGACATTTCGCCAACCAGTGGCTTTATCAATACAAATGCAAGGACATAATTGGAAGACAGAACTATACATAAAAGTTGAGGTAATCAGTCCCTCAGTCTTGGAGATGAAGAGTATCGTAGTCTAAAAGACCACGATACTCTTCACCAACTCCAAGACTAAGGGACTGATTACCTCAGTCTATAGTAAAGATACCCAGATATTGTACATGTGTCTGATTCTTCACCTTGTCGGTATTGTATAGCATACATGTACAGCCTTGTACTGTACTGGCGTTCCTAACATTCTCGTCTCCGCCTCTTCAGATCCAAGGAGCTGCTTCGTCAGGCGATCCTTGACAATGACTTCCTCAAGAACCTGGAGATGGGTCAGGTCAAGGAGATTGTTGAGTCCATGTACAGCGTGGAGTACGCGGCGGGGGCCCTCATCATCAAGGAGGGAGATATCGGCTCCATGCTCTACATCATGGAAGGTGAGTACACACCACTCCCTTGGTCTTTGTAATTATGATATTAATTTACACTTGAGTTGTGAACAAGCAGAGCAAACTCCGACGTACAAACATTGAGGCAAAACCTTTATGCATCATTATATATATATATATATATATATATATATATATATATATATATATATATATATATATATATATATATATATATATATATGCCCTCCATGTAGACCGCCCTCCCTCCAGGTATGTGTGGGTTGTACCTGTCTAGCATAAGCCAGTAGGCCAGTGTGTGTGTGTGTGTGTATCCGTGCTTGTGCTTTATGCATATAAGGGATACCAGTAACTTGATGTCTAGAACGAAACCTTTGAAGTTCTCGTAGTTACTTGACCCGCCACGTAGATCAGGTTGACACATTTCAGCACTTTGTATGAGCCTCATCCTGCGTGATAGAGTATGACGGGGAAACAACTTTTATTTCCACTGTGTAACTATCCCACTTGTATTTGCATTTCAGTTAAACACACACACACACACACACACACACACACACACACACACACACACACACACACACACACACACACACACACACACACACACACACACACACAACAGTAAGCTAGCTCGCAGGACTATAATTTTGCTGTTAGATAGGCACCGACAGTAGTGGCATTTAGTCAAGTATCATTATAACCCCGCTTCCCATGTCTAACTAGCAGTAAAAATTAGGTACCTGTGTGTTAGGCCAGTGTTGCGGGTCACATCCAGGGAAAATAATTAAAAAAAACTCCAGTTCTGCTGGAATGTCACATCCGGTGTGAGAAAGTCGAGTGTGTGCTTGAAGTGCTCAAGTGTTAGGTAGATGGTAAATCACAGGTAAGGTATAAGTGTTGTTTAAAATACAGACAAGTGAGCAAACACTAGGACATATTTAGTACAAAGCGTTGCGATCCTGGGACCTTGATCACTTCTAACATACAAAAGTCGAAAATAACAGTGTATATATAGGCTGGAGATGAGGTGTGACATATCTTGTTAAACCATTTCGTGGGTATTAATTACCAAAGTTTATGTCAAGGTATTATTCTGCTTAAATGTGTTAATTAGCTAATTTTATCTTCGTCACGGAGAGATTGTCTTCTCAGACATTAAAATGCAGCCTACATGGCTGAGATGTTCTTCTCTGATACCTTGTGCTCTTGCACGATAGACTGCATCCTTCCCCAATAGATTATGCCATTTTGAGTATGTGTGCCTCTACCTTGCCATAATAGCAAATAAGAAAATTTTTCACTGGCTAGAGAGAATTTTCCTCGTTGAGAAAGTCTTTCCTAGAGAGAAAACTTTTATATTTTTCCCAATTTGGAATTCATCTGTCCCCCTTTTCCTTCCCTGGACATTACTGGACAAATCTCCCACTGGAGGTGGACAAAACGGTCTTGGATTTCAAACCCTTTTTTCTCGTCTCTGAAGAGATGAGGAGTCATGGGAGAAGTGTTGGGGCTGCAGCCTGGTGCTGGTGAATAATCCTGAGAGTGACCCCTGGAGTATGCGGTGGTGTCTCCCGGGCCAGTCTATCACTGTTAGTAAATATCTGAACCCTTGACTCTGTCAACACTGCTGGCGTGTTTACCTGGTGTGGCTTTCACAGTATGGTTCGCCTTATACCAGCACACACGTCTCCAGGGTTGGGCTCTCTCTCTCTCTCCTCTTTGTGATAGACTCTGCTTTAAATAATGTACCTAGACGTATCTCATTGTTATCGTAGTCTTTCCTGCGAGAGTAGGTGACTCTCTCTCTCTCTCTCTCTCTTACACAGGGTTTGACAAGGTTAGGTTAGGGATCCCTAACTATTGACACGCTCTCTCTCTCTCTCTCTCTCTCTCTCTCTCTCTCTCTCTCTCTCTCTCTCTCTCTCTCTCTCTCTCTCTCTCTCTCTCTCTCTCTCTCTCTCCCTCTCCTCTCTCTCCCTCTCCTCTCTCTCCTCTCTCTCTCCCTCTCTCTCTCCCTCTCTCTCTCCCTCTCCCTCTCCCTCTCCCTCTCCCTCTCCCTCTCCCTCCCTCTCCCTCTCCCCAAGAATAGTGTGATAGGCAGGTTATCGCGACCTGCCAAGGATCCGAGGCAGGTAGAAGCATATTCCAGCATTCGCACTCAACCCAAAGATCACTACACTACAAGTATCACATTACTAACACAAAAAATTTCTCAGCAGTGGTGAAGGTGACTCTAGGTACCCGGCTATCCGAAACAGCAGAGAGCTGCTGACAGTGTGTGTATTGTCCGTGTCTGGACAAGATACATCTGTATGTGACCACCATACTGGCATGGTGATGACCATAGTGTGTACAGTATCTTTGTCTGGATAATATTTACCTGTAAGGGCTCGAATCTAATTGAATCTTATGCCACAGGCAATTTATGACTCCTAATAAAGATAATAATAAGGGTGGGCAGAAAAATGGGGTATCATTGTTAGGGAGATCACAAGATCTATGCCCTGAGGTGTTACAAAATAACTGACCTTCAGGGTGTTCTCCTCTGGGATGTTACATAATAACTGACCTTCAGGGTGTTCTCCTCTGGGATGTTACATAATAACTGACCTTCAGGGTGTTCTCCTCTGGGATGTTACATAATAACTGACCTTCAGGGTGTTCTCCCCTGGGATGTTACATAATAACTGACCTTCAGGGTGTTCTCCTCTGGGATGCTACATAATAACTGACCTTCAGGGTGTTCTCCTCTGGGATGTTACATAATAACTGACCTTCAGGGTGTTCTCCCCTGGGATGTTACATAATAACTGACCTTCAGGGTGTTCTCCTCTGGGATGCTACATAATAACTGACCTTCAGGGTGTTCTCCTCTGGGATGTTACATAATAACTGACCTTCAGGGTGTTCTCCTCTGGGATGTTACATAATAACTGACCTTCAGGGTGTTCTCCTCTGGGATGTTACATAATAACTGACCTTCAGGGTGTTCTCCTCTGGGATGCTACATAATAACTGACCTTCAGGGTGTTCTCCTCTGGGATGTTACATAATAACTGACCTTCAGGGTGTTCTCCCCTGGGATGTTACATAATAACTGACCTTCAGGGTGTTCTCCTCTGGGATGGTACATAATAACTGACCTTCAGGGTGTTCTCCCCTGGGTTGTTACATAATAACTGACCTTCAGGGTGTTCTCCCCTGGGTTGTTACATAATAACTGACCTTCAGGGTGTTGTTAAATTAGACACATGTGCAACTCTTGGGTATCTTTATTGAGGAAACGTTTCGCCACACAGTGGCTTCATCAGTCCATACAAAGGATAAACTTGAAGAACAGGAGGAGAATGAGGTAATCAGTCCCTCAGCCTTGAGTCGATGTTGTCAGTCCATCAATCTTGAATAGAATACGGCATACGAGCGGAGAAGCAGCTTATAAACCGTAGGAAGGAGAGGTGCAGCAGTCGTAGGTGGTGTCACATTTGTTCAATGTGGAAGTAGGTCGTGCCCAAGGGTTAGGCAAGCGAAGAATTCCCAAGTATTAAGATCCCAAGAAGTTGCAGTGTCTGACAGGATTGTAGATGAATGGTTCAGAGAACCGACATGTTGTTAAATTAGACACATGTGCAACTCTTGGGTATCTTTATTGAGGAAACGTTTTGCCACAGTGGCTTCATCAGTCCATACAAAGGATAAATTTGAAGAACAGGAGGAAAATGAGGTAAGCAGTCCCGCAGCCTTGGGATCTTAATACTTGGGAATTCTTCGCTTGCCTAACCCTTGGGCACGACCTACTTCCACATTGAACAAATGTGACACCACCTACGACTGCTGCACCTCTCCTTCCTACGGTTTATAAGCTGCTTCTCCGCTCGTATGCCGTATTCTATTCAAGATTGATGGACTGACAACATCGACTCAAGGCTGAGGGACTGATTACCTCATTCTCCTCCTGTTCTTCAAGTTTATCCTTTGTATGGACTGATGAAGCCACTGTGTGGCGAAACGTTTCCTCAATAAAGATGCCCAAGAGTTGCACATGTGTCTAATTTAACAACATGTCGGTTCTTTGAACCATTCATCTACTATGACCTTCAGGGTGTTCTCCCCTGGGATGTTACATAATAACTGACCTTCAGGGTGTTCTCCCCTGGGATGTTACATAATAACTGACCTTCAGGGTGTTCTCCCCTGGGATGTTACATAATAACTGACCTTCAGGGTGTTCTCCCCTGGGATGTTACATAATAACTGACCTTCAGGGTGTTCTCCTCTGGGATGTTACATAATAACTGACCTTCAGGGTGTTCTCCTCTGGGATGTTACATAATAACTGACCTTCAGGGTGTTCTCCCCTGGGATGTTACATATAACTGACCTTCAGGTGTTTCTCCCCTGGGTTGTTACATAATAACTGACCTTCAGGGTGTTCTCCCCTGGGATGTTACATAATAACTGACCTTCAGGGTGTTCTCCCCTGGGATGTTACATAATAACTGACCTTCAGGGTGTTCTCCCTGGGATGTTACATAATAACTGACCTTCAGGGTGTTCTCCCCTGGGATGTTACATAATAACTGACCTTCAGGGTGTTCTCCTCTGGGATGTTACATAATAACTGACCTTCAGGGTGTTCTCCTCTGGGATGTTACATAATAACTGACCTTCAGGGTGTTCTCCCCTGGGATGCTACATAATAACTGACCTTCAGGGTGTTCTCCCCTGGGATGTTACATAATAACTGACCTTCAGGGTGTTCTCCTCTGGGATGTTACATAATAACTGACCTTCAGGGTGTTCTCCTCTGGGATGTTACATAATAACTGACCTTCAGGGTGTTCTCCCCTGGGATGTTACATAATAACTGACCTTCAGGGTGTTCTCCCCTGGGATGTTACATAATAACTGACCTTCAGGGTGTTCTCCCTGGGATGTTACATAATAACTATGACCTTCAGGGTGTTCTCCCCTGGGATGTTACATAATAACTGACCTTCAGGGTGTTCTCCCCTGGGATGTTACAT